TGCAACACATGTCTATAGTTTTATTCTTATTCCTCCACAGGTGTTTGAGATACATAACTTATTATTCAATGTTTGTGTGCATGAATAGGTACATGTATATGTGAGGTGAGCTTGTACATGTGCATGTATGCATGGAATCTCAATGATAACCTTCGATTTTGCTTCTTAGGAAATTGCCTTTTCTTTTTAAGAGATGGAGTCTCTCATGGGAGGCCTGGAACTTGTGAACTAGACTAACCTTCCTAGAGGAATTCTTCTGAATCTGACTTTAAATGTATGCCACAATACCAGCTTACCCCCACCCCTCTTTTACATGAGGACTTTGGGGAACAAACTCAGGTTCTTGAACTTGCAAAGCTAATCATCACTGAATTAACAAAGTCAAGGCAACAGAAATGGCTGATGGAAGAAGGCCAACACCTTCTAAGCCATCCTCCCAGCACTACAGTCATTCTGCACCATCAGGATTTACCTTTGTGCCTCAAGTATACCATTCCATGCTTTCTCATTATCTCCATTCTCTTGAAATACAAATTTCTGATTATATTAATTATGATTATATCACTTCTAGTCATACTGTACTATTGCATCTCATTTTTACACATCCTGTTAAAGCTAATCATTGTCTTTGGATAATATTTACTCTCCTGTATGTATGAGAAATCTTTAAATCCTAACTCTAATCTTACTCTATATCATCCCTGGAGTCATTAGCTCACATCAGCCATGCATCCCTATAGGAGAAGAGAGCACTTGTTGGTTCCCTGCCACTTAGCCCCAAAATAATCACACAGAAACTGTATTAATTAAATCACTGCTTGGCCCATTAGCTCTGGCTTCTTATTGGAAAACTCTTTCATCTTAATTTAACTCACCACCATTAATTAAGCCACGTGACAGTGGCTTACCAGGTAAAGTTCTGTCTGGCTCCAGCAAGGCCTCTCTCTGACTCTGTCCTTCTTTCTCCCAGCATTCAGCTTAGTCTTCCCCACCCAGCTCTGTTCTACCCTATCACAGTCTCAAGACAGTTTCTTCATTAATCAATCATATTCACAACACACAGAGAGAAATCCCATATAACTTCCCCTTTTCTGCTTAAATAACAAAACAGATTTCAAGGAAGAATTACAGTTACAATATTTATATCTACTTTATCTTTTATCATAACTAAGGAAAACTATAATTATAACTAACAAATATAATAATATTATTATTATATAATAATTATAACTAATTATTCAACTCCATCAAAAACTCCAGAAGGGTATATTAACCCAGTAAACAGGAAGTGCATTGTAAGCAACTTCCAAAACTCTAAAATTGACATCTTGTTACCTGGACAGTCACCCAAAGTTCTTCTGAACCATTGGGGCATCCATCTCCAGCCTACAGGCCCAGACTATCAACAGACTTTTCTATGAAGCAGGAGATTTCAAAGATATTTCCACCTATATTAGCAGTTTGTCAGTCGCTTTCTTCTGTATCCTGCAGAATTTCCAGCAGACTCTTTTATGAAACAGGAACCATGAAGAACTGTCTCACCTTCTTTAGGCAACTTCAGCAGTCATTTCTCTGTGGGTCCTGGATGTTCAGTTCATCAAGCAGTTCAGGCAAAAGCAGTTTCTTGCCCAAATGGCTAGCCAACTCAATAAAGAGACTCTTCAATGCCCATCATCATCTTGAAGTAACTGCTGCTGCCAGGAGCAGATGTGTCTCATTGTCATGATAAGTCCTAAATTTTTAAAACATTTTACATACCATATTCTGTAGTCTTTGAAAGGTTTGAAGAATGCTTATTCATCTGAAACACATCTCTGTACATTTTGAAAATCTAACTAACATGATACAAGCTTGAGTATTATAGATTATTATCTATTAACCTATATTTCTTAATTATACATTACATTTTTAAATGAACTACACAATCACAATACCTTGATTAAAAGCAGAAATATAAATAGAACAAAGTTGACCATAAGTTTGTATCAATAAACCAAAATCCATACCAAGGCAAATCTCTATAGCATATCCCCCTTTAAATGTAAAAGAACATTTATAAGCAATATTTGGGAATATGGGTGTGGTTATTCTCTAAACTGATTCTTGCTGTTTATTGGGCAAATTAATTTTTTGAGGGGTGTTCAAGACAAACTTTCAGGGGGTCTTGGTCCACCATATTTGTTTAGAAGCAATCTATAAGTCCTCATTCTCTGTGGAAACAAAAGAAGAACTTCTTTTCCAAAAAAAAAACATATCCTTAGACTCAAATTTTGAATTCAAGATATCTTTGAAATATATATGTTGGCTTAGCTTAGCATTCCTCAGAATCAAATGTCTCCCTGCAGTACAAAATATTTAAGGATAATACAATAATATACATAATCCAGACTCTCTGTGAATTTTCCATCTTTACAGTGCTTGTTTTAACTCTATTACTTTCTCTATAAGTTTAATATTTATTTCATTATCTTTACTCCTTTAATCTATGACTGTCTGTACTTCTTTTCATAACTCTCTGTATTCTTTTTCTTTTCTCTCCCAAGTCTACATACATTTATCCAACACTGTGACCCATTTAGAGATCTTTTATGTCTGAATCTGCCCTATTGTATATCTTCTTTATTGTTCAGGAGCACTTGTTAAAATGTTAAGCCCTTCTTATGAACTTAAGCGGCTGCATTACTAGGGCAAATACAGCACTACCTGCTTGCCCTGCCCAGTCCAGCATGGTGGAGCTGTTTGCTGCCTGTGAGAGCCTTGCTCATAGCCTCATTTTTAGGCACACAGCCAGTCTATGTTGCTATTAAGCAAGTTGTAGAAGTCTGCTCACAGACCCCACTCAAATGGTCTGTAGCTGGACCTCCAGACAGTGTCAGAGTTTGTGCTGGCAACATAGTCCAGAAAGCCAGCATTTCAAAACTGCCATTTTTTCCCTCCTACTGAATCAGGTAAACCTATCTTAAAGGAGCCATGCTTCTGCCTGATTCTAGTAAACAAAGCTCAGCCAATTAAATGCCACTACCAAACCATACTTAACTCTGTTCTTTTGTGCCCAGGATTCCCCTTCAAGTCCTCCTAGGTTTTACATGGATAAAACCATGTTGGTGCCAATTTGTAGTTTGAGAGAGCCACTTTTTGTTTCCCTGCCACTTAGCCCCAAAATAATCACACAAAACTGTATTAATTAAATTACTGCTTGGCCTATTAGTTCTAACTTCTTATTGGATAACTCTTACATATTATTTTAACTCATCTCCATTATGTATTGCCACAGGGCAGTGGCTTACCGTGTAAAGTTTTGTCTGGTTCCAGCAGGGCTACATGACGTCTCTCAGACTCCACCCTTCTTTCTCCCTGCATATAGCTTAGTCTTCTCCATCCAGCTCTGTTCTATGCTTTTACTGGCTGAAGAGAGTTTCTTTATTAACCAATCATCTTTACAACACACAGAGGGGAATTCCACATCACCTTCCCATTCATTTCCTCAACCTCTTGAACTCTGTTCACAGCTTTAATCTTCTCTGAAGATGCCTTTGACTGAGAGTTCATTCTCAAGAATGGAAAACATGTGTTGAATTCAGTTTTGATTGTGGGTAATATTCAATGACCTTGGACTTAGGTGTGACACTACTTGGACAAGTTGTTTTAATCTCCGACTTTCTGATTTTCATTAGTTTTAGAAGATATTTTCACCTGTCTCCTCATATCTTCTACTGACAAACCCTTTATTTTCTGAAGGCATTGGACAGAGCTAGCCATGTAAATTTTCAGACATGGTAACAGTATCCTGTTTAAGAATGGCAACTTCTTCATTATCTGAAGCCTGCCTCCTCTGTGTCTCCCCACTTCCCACTGGCATGATGGAAGGCCAGGCAACCACATTGACTGTGTGTACACGAGGCCTTCCTCATACCATGTTTCATAGGATCCCCCTTCTTTATCCTGTCTAAAGTAGAAGGATCTGCTGGTGCTTTTGGAATTCTGTGCTACAAGCCACATTATCTCTCAGTTTCCTCACCACAACATCAGTTCCAGTCTCTGGGATCCACTCAGTATGTTAGATACTAATTAACTGTTTCGGCTCCTACAGTCCAGCTGCCCTCTGCGGTCTTGGTTCCCATGCATTTCTTTGTCTCCATTCTTTTTTTAAATTTATTTATATACCAATTTCAGTTCCCTCTCCTTTCTGTCCTCTCACCCTCCTCACCTTCTCTCTACCCCACCTACATCCACTCCTTAGAGAGGCTGAGGCCTCCCATCAGGGGTTAACAAAGTCTATCACATCATTTGAAGTAGAACCAAGGCTCACACACTCCTACCCTGTATCAAGGCTGAACAAAGTATCCCTCTATAGGGAATGGGCTCCAAAGCACCAATTCATGCAGTAGGGATAAATACTGTTTCCACTGCCTATGGCCCCACAAATTTTAAATTCAATCTTTGTTGGCATCCCAGCTTGTCAATCTGGAGTTAATGAGCTTCCACTAGCTCAAGTCAGTTCTTTCTGTAGGTATCCCCATCATAGTCTTGGCCCTTTTGCTCATGGCATCGCTCCTCCCTCCCTCTCTATAACTGGATTCCAAAAACTCAGCCCAGTGCTTAGCTGTGAATCTCTGCATCTGCTTCTATCAGTTGCTGAATGAAGGCCCTATGATGACAATTAAGGTATCATCAATCTGATTCCAATGGAAAGGCAGTTTGGGTACCCTCTCCACTATTGCTTTGCTCCGTTCTTTTCTTGTTACCTTGGTGAGTCATTGAAATAGAACCAGTAGTAAGTATATGTATATGTTGTTGATGATGGTATATAATATTATTCAGATTACATGATTTTATAGTGTTTCAAAACACTTTAACAAACAATATAATTGAGTAGTAAATAAATGAACAAATATATATTTTACTATTCAAAATTTACATACTTGATTACAAAGAACTTGTCTATGGTTGTTTTCAATTTCTGTTTGCTAAGGATTTGGTTTTTTCTCTTTTGAATACAGATGGAAGCTTTAGACAGAGCCGACCAAACCTCACCTCCCTGTTAGTGCAGCCCATCTCAGCGTCCTTTGCTAAAAAACTCATTGCTTTGCCGAAACTGAGAATGGATAATGATACCTGTCGCCCTCTAGAGCTTCCATATAATGGTAAGGTAACCAATGTAAGAACATTGGTCATTTTTAATATATCTCTTAAATCGAAAGGTCTATGATTTTCATTTCAGAATTGCAGACTTTTGGTAGGAGAGGGGTCTGTCCCATTCTGTGCTTCAGTAAGGATGAGTTTGAAAGGTATTTGTAATGAAAATCTAAGAGATTCATGAAGCTGGGATATTTTTGCAAGGAGAAAAATGGAAGTTTGGGTTATTCGAAAGAAAAGGAGCTTCACAAATAAAGCATTTGAACATACATGGAAATCTGCTCAGCACAACTTCCCAGGTTCAGCTCTGGAGGGCTCGCTGCCTGCCAGAGTTCAGCGAATAGCAGTGACTCTCTGGCAGTCTTGATGCCTGCCAAGATGCAGTGAATAGCAGCAGCTATCTGGGGTATGAAATCTTTTAGTATAAGGCATTAAAGCCTAATTCCTGCAATTGACTAAAAAAATCCCTCTGTCTATTCCCATCATTGGGCAGGAGATGTTTTTCGTTCATTGGTAAAATCTGTCAGGCCTTGTTGGACTTTGCAAGATAAAACTGAAGCGGTTATGCTACCTGTGGTGGGATGGAAGCATGGGCTGCATATTTTTTTCTGCCATCAGCTTCAGAATTTAAGATCTGAGGAAGAGACAGTTTCTACATGTTGCTACAGCTGCTGTGAACGAAGGTTCCAGGCCTTTGCTTTGTGTGTCCAGATCTGAGGCTCTGTCCACTGCTAGTGTTTTACATCTGTTTTTCTCCTTACAACAAAAGCATTGAAATATGCTTTGAAGAAAACATTTCCAAAGTCAAGTTTGCTGGATGTTAGAGACATAGGAACTCGTCAGTGTGCATGCATGTGTGTGTGTGTCTGCATATGGGGGCATTTGCCTCAGCATATTTGTGGATATGAGAGGACAACCTCTGAGAGTCAGGTCACTCCTTCTAGCAAATGAGTCCTAGCATCAATCTCATCAGCTTGGTGTCAGGGCTTCCTCCTGCTGAGCCATCTCTGCTGCCCTGAATTTGTTAAATCAGTAGAGAGTAGAGCCCTTTCTGCATTTCAGCAACTATCCACCTTTTAGGGTACTGACATTTCCTGTGATAATGTTGTAATCACCCATCTTACTTCTGAGTTAATGCCCTGGGCTTTCGTCTACTGAAACATAGAAAAGCCACACATTTGTGAGAATCAAAGATGAATATCTACCCCAGCTCTTCTGTAAACAACACACTGCTGTGTGTATTAGTGAGTCTCTTATAAATGATGATGCCAATGCCTTCTCTGCAGTAAAGCATCTTCACATGAAATGATGCTCTCTAGCTATGGCCGAACATGAAGTTACAGACAACAGGTACGGAGTGAGAAAAAAAGTAGAAATTGAGAGTTGGAACTTCCAAGTCTTCTTTGACAACTTCCAGTGTCAAAGAAGCAACATGAAATATCTGCTTTATATAAAGATTTTTAGAAAAATTAAAATAGACTTAAACTTAGAAAAGAAGTTGATGTTTGTGAAGTTTTTATTTTTCAGAAAACAATTTTTTTTTATTTTTTTGAGATGAAATTTCATAATAACTATTGAATCAGTCCTGGACCTCACTCTACAGACCAGGCTGGCTACAAACTCACAGAGATCCGCCTGTCTCTGCCTCATGAGTGCTGGGACTAAAGATGTACACTACTACCGCCCAGCCAGTAAACAGATTCTTACATTTATATTTTTTGGATACATACTGAGAGTTTGTGTGATTTAATTTAAATGTATCTTAAAAGGAGGATAATCACATCAAAGTTCTGCACAGAGATATTTATGACTATTTATGTCACCAAAGACAATTACCTTCTGAGTATGTTATATACTCTTAAAATTGCATTAATTGCTTGATTGATGAGTAAAGATACATCATAAAAATACCAAGAAGGTTCTTTACTTTGAACAAGAGCGTTACTTATAGTTTACAAATTAAAAATAGTGTAAAACCCATTACAGTTGAATTTTGTTCTTTCATTGAGCCTTCTAATCATAGTCTTAGAAAACCTTAGAAACCTTAGAAAACCTTACCTCATCAAGATGTAGAAATAGGTAAATGTATGTGCACATCAAGTAATTACTTATTTTATTTGTTTAACTTATTATTGCAATGGATCAGCATTCTCTAAAATCTAAGGAATGTAGCCAAATTTCTCCATTACAAGTGTTTTATCAACACCTTTATTCTTTACATTTTTGACATTTATCAACATTTTTCAACTATGTAAGTAGATCTGAGTTTTCTCTAAACTCTGTAGATTGGCCTGACTCTCTCAAACCTGTTGGAATAGTCCATCTCATAAAGCCTCTCCACAGCAAAACCAAGATTCATTTTCTAAACTTTATTTGAGCAATGACCCATTTCTTCACTAGAAGAAAATTTAAAAAAACCAGGTAACTCTGGACTCTGCTTCCTTGCTGGGACCATGATAGTTTATAGTGCTGACTAATGGAGCCAGTGGTGAGTAGAGTTAGCTGAGTAAGGGGGAAAGCGAGAGATGGAGACAGAGATGGGGGTTAAGTGTAAATGCTAGAGGTGGCAGAGAGATTACTAACCACTAAGTGAAGCAGTCATAGGTGAAGCTACATTCATTGAGTTGGTCATAAAGGGAAACCAATATATTTTCTTTGGAATGCAATAAATATGTGTTTGCTTTTCAGTTATTTATACCAAAAGCTATCAAAGTGATTCAAATAATAAAAGTTGAGGAAAGAAATGAAATGTCAGCACATGAAATAGGTTTAGGATACGTAAGGAAGAGATGAGGGCATTTTGTGGAGACTTTTTAGAGAAGCAACCATTGAGCCAGAAGAACCACATTTTGCCTGAACAGAAACAGATTGGACTGATTAAATCTTTGGATACCCTGGATTTACTGGTTTTGGTCTCTCTTTGGAGAGCCTATCTGCCAATTTAGAATGTTCTCAATCATTTTAATTGACGCTCAGCCAGGACTAGAAATCTTGGTGTCAAATATGAATTCGACCTCATGTTTAAGATTTGGGAATACACTGAAATACTGAAGTGACAAATTATAGGTTAATATAATTTAAGTGGAAAACATACATATATCAGGTTTAAAGAAGGAAATTTGATAAACTTGATTCAAATTTAAAGGGAGAATGATTGTTTAATTTTATGCTGTATCAAACTTACCAAGGAAGACAAGTTTGTGCAAAAGTAAACGGTGTAAAACACATGCTTATCTGCTTAAATAGAAATAGGAAAACTAGTAATGTAGCTCTGATTTCCATACTCATAATTTGATACATTCTCTGGTGAAAAATAGCTCCATTAGAATAATAAAGGAATACTTAACTCATAATATCATTTATGCTTTTTCACAAGTTTCAAATTGTTGTAAATAGTTATCTTTTGAATTTGTTATTATCCACTTGAAAGAATTCATTTACATTTCTTTAGCAGATATTTCACTACATATTTAATGTATTAATGTTACAAATTGTGATTATGCAAAAGTTATCATCAAATAGTTCATTTTAACTATTCAAAACATAGTTATTATTAAGAAATGTTCGTTTACTTGGATCAATAAGTATCATTTTGCTACATCTAAAGCTAATGAAACTGTCTAATAGTATTAGCCTCAAGAATGCCCCCTGAGAGGAAAATCTAGAGTACTCATTCATTAAAATTTGTTGGCAATCATCTATCCAACCTGTGATAAAACATATTATGAGACACCATATTATTAGAGATCTGATAGATTGACATGACCTCCAAATAATACTAACATAAAAGTTATTAAATTTTTTGAGCTTACAAAGGAAAAGAATATATGTAGGTTATTCTTTCTAAGAAGAAAAATTGTAAATGTGATTTGCATGAACGTTGGTGTGCTAGTCACTTTTCCAACACTGAAACAGAAATATTTGAGATGAAGGAGTATTGCTTGATTTTTATCTAACAGTGATAGGGTTTAGTTCGTGGTCGGTTTGCCTGTTACATGGTCTGTAATGAGAAATCATTGAGGAATCTATCAGCGACAGTGACTAATGAAAGCAGAATGAGGAGAAACATGGGAGGTTGCTCTATCTTTTCCCGAGATGCGTCTCTAGATATCAACTTTGTTGCCACTAGGCACACTTCCTGCAAATTCTATTGTCTTCCAAAAGCATCACAAAGTAGAGACACTCATAGACCATAGGAAACTTTTATCCAGGTGGTAGGTTACTGACATCTAGTCATCAGTGAAAAGAAATAGCCCTCAAAAATATGGGCATAATTTTAGTTTGTGTACACAACTCTATAGAGCAAAGCATATGGGTAAAATCAATGTTCCTGTGTACACAACTGTGTATGACATGCATATGAGTAAAATCAGTGTGCTTGTATATGCAACTTTATACAGCATATGGGTAAAATCAATATTTTTGTATACACAACTCATGCATATGGGTAAAATCAACGTGCTTGTGTACACAGCTCTATATGGCATACATTTGAGTAAAATCAATGAGCTAGATCACATTAGTAAAGACAAATAAGCAGCAATAAAGGCTGCATGTTAGCAGTTGCTGCTGTATCCCTTAGCAGTGACACCCAGTTCTCTAAATTCCAGCAACCAATTGCACAGTGCCCCTAGGGGTCTGGGCTGAAAGCTAAGAACAGAGGAAGTTGTGGAACTAAAGAGCAGCGTTCATGAGTTGCCAGTCTGAAGTCCTTGGATAAAAGGAAAAGGAGTTTCAGAATTCACTTTGAAGGACTGTTCATGAAGGATCTGAAACACAGAACACAGGTGTGAGACCTATTGTCCAAAGTCCACAGACAGTAGACTCAGACTTGTTTCCTGGGGAGTGAAGGTAGGGTTTACCCAGGGTGACAGAACTGTCACTCGCCTTGAACTTCTCAAGTTTCCTGTGTTCTGTTTCATCAGTTAACGCTTAGAAATGATTCAGCACAAATTTTTGTTTGTTAAACACTGAAGGCAATCTGAGATGTATGCTTTCAAGTGAAATC